TGTGTGTGTGTGTGTGTGTGTGTGTGTGTGTGTGTGTGTGTGTGTGTGAAAAATGCAATGTACAAATAAGAAATGAGGTTAGTAGTTAATCTATAATAATCAAACTTGTAGTCACATTGGGTATGTTTTCAAGGTTAAATAGATATATCTAGATAGATAAATGGTCTTCAAACCTTTCAAAGACCTACAGAATTGGGCATTTAAAATGTTTTGTTAACTTAGGGCTTTTCATGACAATGAGACACATCTGCTCCTGGCAGCACCAATTTACTTCAAAGATGATGGGCACTGAGGAAACTGCTTATGGAGTTTGATTTCATTGTGGCAAGGTTAGCCACAGGGCAAATAAACTGCTTCTGTCTTTGACTATTGACAGTGTACTGTGCAGACTGGACATGCAGGACTCACAGGGGAAAAAAAACAGTTGAACTTTGTCAATACAGGCAGGACATGCCTTCAAATTCATGCTTCATTGAAAAGTTTGCCAGATATTCTGGACCTGTAGGCTGAAGATGGATGCCCCAATGCTGCAGAAGAACTTTGGGTGACTGTCCAGGCAGCCAAATGTCTCTGTTGTCAGATAACATTATATCCTTCTGGGTCTTTGATGGAGTTATAGTTATAGTTTTCCTTAGCTATGATAGAAATTAAATTAAGTGTAAATCTTTGGATTCACTAAGATTGGATAGATAATGCATTATTTTCTCTAAATATGCTGAATACAGATGGACTGCATATTGTAAATGTAATTCTTACTTGATAACTTCTTTTGTTGCACATAGTTTTACTACGTTAAAGTTAAAACCTTTTTTAGACAAAAAGGAGGAAATGCTGTAGATTATTATTTTAAGATGTGTTACATTTGTTTGTGCTGTGGAATATTTGTTTAATGATGCAAAGATGTGTTGCATTCTTTTATGTTGCATTTGTTTAACTCTGTGAAGCTGTGTTACTGTGCCTGTCTAAAACACTTGATGGTCTAATAAAAAAAAACTGAACAGCCAATAGCAAGGAAGAAGAAAGGATAGGCAAGGCTAGCAGGCAGAGAGAATAAATAGAAGAAGAAATCTGGGAGGAAAAGAAAAGGGAACACGAAGAGAAGGATGCCAGGGGCCAGCCACATAGCCACACAGCCAGCCACAGAGTAAGAGTGAAAATAAGATACACAGAAGTTAAAAAAAGGAAAAAGCCCAGAGGCAAAAAGTAAATGAGATAATTTAAGAAAAGCTGGCAAGAAATAAGCCAAGCTAAGACCAGGCATTTACAATTAAGAATAAGCCTCCTTGTGTGATTTATTTGGGAGCTGGGTGACAGGGCCCCCAAAAGAACAAAAACCATTAACCACAACAAACCATTAGAATTTTGAAAATGTATGTGTGTCTGTGCCGGTGTGTGTCTGTGCCAGTGTGTGTGTGCCTGTGTGTGTGTGCCTATGTGAGCCTGTGCCTGTGTTTGTGTCTGTATGTGTCTGTGCCTGTGTGTATCTGTGCCTGTGTGTCTATGCCTGTGTGTGTGTGCCTGTGTGTGTGTGCCTGTGTGTGCCTTTGCCTGTGTGTTTGTGTGCCTGTGTGTGTCTGTGTCTGTGTGTGTCTGTATTGGTGTCAATCTCTAACAAGGAGCTTTGCTCTGTATTTATCGTAACAGCACAGAAAACTCAGGAAAGGAACAGGACATTTTTACAGAAATATTTAATAGACTTTTAAAGGGAAGGAATCACCTGATCGACCTTGAACACACACAAAACTGCAAACAGCTCTTACTAACTATAGCCACACATTGCTTCCGGAATTTATAGGATATGTATTGTTTAAGGTTACTGTCAACATGTTGGCTGCTCTCAGCAAATGATTACCATAACACATACATATATACATACATTATTCTGTCCAGTGGAATGGAATGGTACATAGCTTAATATTGATGCTGTGCATTTAGCTCAGGTTATAAAGCTGAATGGACAGGAAATCCAAAGCACAGTAAGGTTGGTTAAATTGTTCTCTTAAAGACCAAGTAAGCTTAAATAAGCGGAGCATATAGTAGGATACTAGGCTATGTACATGGTCATAAGTGATCACAGGGCATATTACTAACTTGTCTGCAAGCTCCAGCAAAAGTTGAGTCTCTTTGGGGTCAAGAGACATTTTGAGAACGACGTATCACCATAGATCACTATGTTTATATATCTTCCTGTTACAATTTTCAGTCATTGGGAATGATCATCAAATCAGGCTCAGGGAGGATCACTCTTCTACTGTTCATACTTGGTCATACTGTTGAACTTGGCCACCAGTTCAAATCTGGTCTATCTCTGTACTAGGTAAGATGTTACAGGAATGGAACTCCAGCAATAAAAAAAAAAGGTTGTGAAAGAAATCCAAGGATAAGGCTGAGGATGAGTTAGTTGCTGTACATTCTGAAAATGATATGCATGGCACAGTTGGAAAAAGGTCCTAAAATTAGATATTAGATATTAGACATGGTCTCATTATTCAGTAGGATGGTGTGACCATAACTGCCTCAGCCCATGTTCAACATCACCAATGAGAAGAATCTTAAAGGGAAATGTAAATTCCTGAGTACCTTCCACTGCTTCTTGTCACCGCCACACCTCCCTGTTTGTTCTTTCTTTGGCCTCCGTTGTGCAGTTGTGGCTCCTGGGAGATGCACTGTGTGTTAAAATCATGTGTTAACACAGTGGAATAACCAGGATCAACTACTTACCCGCTGATACAAATGTTGAAAAATGAAGTGATCGAGAACCGGATTTTTAATTTAACATTAAAAACACTCATGTAAGCTTAATATTCAACTAGCTTGGGAAATGTGTGCCGTTATCTAGAGATTCATATAGCAAATTGGTACACAAGAGGAGGCACAATGTTGAAGTTAAGCATGCACAAGTGGTTCCGGAAAAAGAAAAAATGCAGCTTCAGAAACAAAATGTACAAGTTATGTGGAATCACGTGAACATTGCAGGCTATTGCTATGGCCCTTGGTTACCTCCACAGATGGAAGCTAAGTACATACTACTGAAAACACCATGGGCTGTTTCTCAACCTTCCTAATGCTGCGACCCTTTAATACAGTTCCTCATGTTGTAGTGACCACCAACCATAAAATTATCTTCATTACTAGTTTATAACTGTAATTTTGCTACTGTTGTGAATGGTGATATAAATGTCTGACATGTGGGATAGCTGATATGTGACCCTCCCCAGGGGGTCACAACCCATAGGTTGAGAACCACTGCCTTAGAGAGTTGCTCCCCAGAGGCTCTTCATCCCTTTTTCTTTTTCTCTTCCGAGAGAAACCTGTTATCTGAATCTAACGAACTACTGTATCGGCCACTCGTGGATTCAGCTTTATGAGCTGAGACCGTGAGATCTCTTCCCATGTTATGTTTGGGTCTACCTGCCTAGACCACAGGTACCATATCCTCCTATCCCCACACTAACATACCTACCTAAAGTGTCCTTTTAAATAAAAGGGTATAATGACTCACATTAGTTGTAGAAAAATGGCTATTTCCCCAGGGACTCATGCCTTGGTGGGGTATGGATTCACTTTAGCATTGGCCCGAGTTCACCTTGAGCAGAAAGCAACCATATGATTTGTGTGGAGGCCCACAGAGATTTCCTAGTGAGATCTGAGCTTGCTTTACCCAGCAGAGCTACATTAGAGGATTACTTGACCACGTGTGTGGTTACCAGGTGATTTGAAGGGTCTGCACTTGGATGTGCGGTGTGCTTTGATCTAGCAAGGGGAGGTCTTTTGCTCCACCCCTTGGTATTCCTTTAAAAGGCCCTTTAGAAGAGACAGAAGGGGCCAGTGGATAAGGATCCAGGCCCTTCTGAGTGATCCTGTGTTTCTATCTGTCTCTCTCCCTTTTATCCTTCTATCTAAATATTTCTCACTTCTCCCTCTTCAAGAGTACCCTGGGGCAAAAGTGGGAGTGGGCCTCCCACAGATTGGCTTCAATCTTGGCTGGGAGAACCCATCAAGATGGAAGCAACCATATGACTTGGCCACCTTGCTAATGATATCATAAAGACGAGGTCACCACCATCTTGGTTAATGTTACCACATGGCACAGGCCAAAATGGTGACACTTGTAAAACTTAATGGTCCCACTCAGCCCTCTGGGAATCACTACAGTCCTTATATTATCAGACTAAAGAGAAAGCATCAAACATCTAAGGTGATGGTTTTTTTTTTCTTTTAATTTAAATGTTTTGTTTTGATAGTTTTTTTTTCATGATGCATTTACTGGCTTCTAAGAAGAACGTAAAATTCTTGCCAGCCATGTGCTCCCAACACTGACATACTAACAAGTGGAGCTACCAACTTGAGATTCACAGATCCCATCAGAGACTCGAAGGATAAATCGCCAAGGGCTACAGAAGCTGCTGCCAATGAGGCACGGCTATAGTAAGTAGGCTTTGCTGCACCTGGGTGCCTCATTATGAAAGAGAAACTCTACATAGAGACCTTTAGTAAATATGTTGTTGGATGGGGCAAAAACAAAAGCAGACACATGTGAAACTATGTACTGAGGCAGGGAAAGAACGTTTTATCTCAGTTAGAGGAAAATGGACCTGGAAATATTGGACAGAAATAGCGGGCTCAACACAAGGGAAATCATGCCAACCACCTGAGACTAGGAAGTCATGGATCTTAGAGAAGAACCTGCTGCCACCACTTCACTGGACCAGTATAACATCTAACTGAATTTTAAATGTTTATCCTTATACACACAGATAACTGTAGTGCTCACCCCTCATCAAAGAAGTTTCTCTTCGTAATAAACAGGAGACTAGCCCTGAAAACGGTAGATGTAATTCTGAATGGTTTTATTAAATAAGAAACACAGAGCCAAATGCAGAATTAAAAGCCCAAGAAGTCCAAGAGCAATAGTTAAGAGCTGAGACTAAAACTGCCTTCTTATCACCTGCTGCCGTCCTTCCCCTGAGAAAGAGACCTACTTCCTGTGTGTCTGTCTTTTTAATTGGCTTTCTGTTCTGCCTTCTCATTGGCTGTAAATCCAACCACATGACCTCCTCGTCACTGCCTGTCTATACAGACCTCCAGGTCTCTATGGTTGGTATTGAGATTAAAGGCATGTGTCTCCATGCTGGTGGTGTCCTTGAACACACAGATTCTGCCTGCCATGTGTTCAGGATTAAGGGCATGTGCTACCACTGCCAGACTTCTGCTAAATGGCTTGCTATCAGCTCTGACCCCCAGGCAACTTTATTTATTAACATACAAGTACAATCACATTTCAGCACAAATAAAATACCATAGAAAATCACAAGTTGTCTAAATACAGAGAACAAATCTTAGGATAAGAGAATAGAAAATTAAGCATAAAAAGTAGAGAACATACCAAACATTGTTTCTTGAGTTTTTACTAGGTACATGTTCTGGAATGCATTGGATATGAACAAACACGTCAGTGATGGTCATACATATGAACCTTCCTAAACTGTTTGGGAAGGTAAAGAGGAAAGAAGCCCAAGAGGAATGTAGAAGGCAGGGAAGAATTGAATGGAAGGAGCCACACTATCCATGACAACAATGTGTGCATATGCAACTGGACACAGCTGCTTATGTTTATCTAGTGTGAAGAAAACCTAGCTCCATAAGACCTGGTATTTCCACCCTAAATGCTCCACCAGTAGTAAGGAATGGAGGAGGCCTGCTGATTTCATTCTACTCTTAGTCTCTTAAATTAGACTTTTTTATGCTTCTGTCTTACATGTTTCCTATATTTCTAACACAACTGACTTTCATTTTGTAAAGATGCTTTCAACTATATACAGCGGCCTCCTTTCCCTTTATATACTGACTGCAATTCCTCCCATTCCAGTCTCTGTTCCCTCTTCCGAAATACTCTTCCATTTCCTCAAATGTCTCATTTTAAACAAAAATTCTGATGATTTTAATCCTACTTTAGCTCCCTCACTAACTCTAGAAATGTAACCTCCTACAGAAGCTTAAGAAGAGATATAAAGATTAACGTCATGTATTATTATACTATTTGCTCCAAGTTAGCATACATGCTGAGCAAAGGATGTTTCCATCTTCCTGTTTTCCTTCAAATGGCTTTTTAATTAACAGAGTTCTCACCTTTCTCTTCAGCGCCACCTGTGTTTTCTCCACTTTCTTCAAGATCCATAGACACTTGAGCACTCCACTTGGGTTGAAATCGCTCAAAGATGGGCTGATAAAATGAGCATTGGTAAGGAACTGCAGAGAGGTTTCCTGACACCCTCCCAAGATACAGCTAGACTTCATATCAAAAGCAACTAGATATAAATAAAAGATGCACTGCAGAAAAACGTATGTGATGAGATCCTTACATTATGCTCTCTATATTACATCTTCATTTTCCTTCATATGGTAACTGGCCATAGAAGACCAGGGGAGACATCATCATAGACAGTCTGCAGAAGAGTCTGCACTGTGCATCTTCAAGCAAGACGTGCACATCAGGATGCCTGCCTAGTCCGTGTAATCATCACTTAACCACCCAATTTTTAAACAAATCTTATTCTCTTGCTGTGACAGGATGGGACATTGAGATTTACATAGACAGAAACATCTCCTATCAAAGGAAGAAATGTCGAAGGTAGTGAGCTGTTGAGAATAAACTGAACACTGTTATAGTTTGTCCTCTTGGAATTAAAGCCCTAAACAAATTGGGTAAATTTTTAATCAAGAGAAACCTGGCTACTCAGAGAGACCAGGTCAAGTCTGAAAATCTTCTTTACCTTACAGTTAAATAAGAGCATGAAATTATTAGATATTCCATGTCAGGTTCCCTATTAAGGCAGAACTGTTAAAAGTGAATGTAGCATTAAAAAGGAATGATAATTAAGAAATTTAAAAACTAATTGCATAATGGAGGCATGATGAGCAAAGGCAGCCAAATCATATGAACATGTTCATGGCTAGGGAAGTTATTTAAAACATGACATGGGTGACCATTTAGAAACCTGGCTTTTGTAGTGACAACACAATATTGAGATGTCCCAAATCATCTCTAAATCACTACAAAAGAAAGCAGTGTGTGTCCAGTGTTATGGCAAAGCAAAGAGGTATAGAGTGTAGAACACATTATCTGCCTCCACACAGTTACAGCACACTCTGCCATCCCCGGGGCCCCATCCCTCTGCTTGTGGACATGGGCAAGGTCCCTAACAATCATTTTTGTGACATTGCTGATGACCTCCCATTTGCTCTTCTGTGTTAGGACTATTTTTTCTTATATGTTTTTGTTGCACATAATACATTTATAATTTTTAAGTACCAGAGGTGTTTTACAGGATGACTATAGCTCTAGTTCCATTCTCCACACCATTTTAATTTTAATTTTTCAGATGATTCTCTAGTTCCAGTTTCCTAAGCACTAAGGTCATAGGTGAGCACCAGCCTTTCCATGAGCCCTTAATCTCAGCCTTATAGTTGAATGCCCATCTCAGTTTATTCTAACACCAAGCAAAGTCAATGTGTAATTTTGTATTATATTTGCTGATGTCCTTCACTGAATTAATGATAACATTAAATGTAATTACATGGAGCACAACCCAAGAGGGCCCATGCTGGAAGGCAGCCTTCTATTGATTGTCCATAGAAGTACATTGAGGCTCAATGTACTTCCTGTAGACTCACACACATGAGATGATGAAGGCAGCGAGAGTCCAAAGGAAAACAAACCCTTACCCTCTGTTATGCTGCTGGTTAGTAGGAAATCTTAGGTGAATTTTTAGTCATTGGGAATGATCATCAAATCAGGTTCAGGGAGGATCACTCTTCTACTGTTCATAATTTAGACCACTTGGTCGGTCACCAGTTCAAATCTGGTCTATCTCTGTACTAGGTTACAGGAATGGAACTCCAGTAATAAGGAAATGTTATGAAAGAAATCCAAGGATAAGGCTGAGGAGGAGTTAGTTGCTTTACATTCTGAAAATGTTATGCATGGCACAGTTGGCAAAAGGCCCTAAAATTAGATATTAAATATTACACATGGTCTCGTTATTCTCTAGGACGGTGTGACCGTAACTGCCTCAGCCCATGTACAACATCACCAGTGAGGAGAAATGTAAATTAATTTTACATTTAATTTACATGTAATTAAAGAATTTACATTTCTTAAAGGGAAATGTAAATTCCTGAATACCTTCCACTGCTTCTTGTCACCGCCACACCTCCCTGTTTGTTCTTTCTTTGGCCTCCGTTGTGCAGTTGTGGCCTCTGGGAGATGCACTGTGTATTAAAATCATGTGTTAACACAGTGGAATAACCAGGATCAACTACTTACCCACTGATACAAATGTTGAAAAAGTAAATGAAGAGTTGGGTTTTTAATTTGACAATTAAATGGTTAGACTCACTGTAATATTCAACTAGGTATTTACTGGCTTGAGAAATGAATACAATTATCTAGAGAGTCATATACCAAATAGATACATAGGCAGAGAAACCATGTTACAGTTAGTCACCACACGTGGAAGATGCATGCACAAGTGATTCCACTAGACACAAACAAGCCCTACTTTGGAAACAGAATTGGTTGGTATGGTAGTTTGAAAGAAAATGCCCCCCAAAGGGAGTGGCACTATTAGGAGGTATGGCTTTGTTGAAGTAAGTGTGTCACTGGGGGGAGGGGGGGGCTTTGAGGTCTCTTTTGCTCAAATTTCCCTCAGTGTGACAGTCAGTTGACTACCTGTTGCCTACAAGATGTGGGACTCTCAGCTGCTCCAGCATCACATCTGCCTAAGTGTTGCCATGCTCCCTGCCATGTTGATAATCGACTAAAACTCTGAAACTGTAAGCAAGACCCTTAATTAAATGTTTTCTTCAGAAGGGTTACTGTGGTCATGGTGTCTCTTCACAGTAATGAAAACCCTAACTAAGAGAGTTGTTACACGGAACCAAATACTGGCATACTGCACACTGTCCTCTACCTGGAGAGAGGAATGTGTCTAGGCATTTTCTTAATAATTACATCTTACACTTTGTATCTCCTTCCTATCTGAAATGCTTTGCTCTACTTTTGGACCAGCCTCTTCCTTCTTATAAAACTTCACAATATCTGAATTCTTCCTGGATAATAGTTCTCATCCTCCAGGTCAGCATGCATGCTTTTCTTCTAACTACTTTAGAAGTTTATCCACTTTTCAAAAATTTCATTTTCACTGGAGTTGTCAATTATTTCTTTGGATTGTTTTAACTCTTTTGCTCTTGGCCTACTGGTGACAATGTTTAAATCATCTTTTGTAAAATTAGTATCATACTTATTTTAATAATAATCACTTCTTGGGGTTTTTCTAGGCTTGTGTATGCTCTGGGATCTGGAGGATAGAGAAGTATGTCAGTGATGATTCTACACAGGTATTGCCTGAGGTGACTCATAAACAATGAGTTTATGGAGGTTGAGGAGGAAAGCAAGAGTGTGGAAGCCAAGGAAAAGAGGCAGGGATGTATTGGGGTAGTATTACATATTAACATATTTACATGTTTGACTGGCCATAGCTGTTTATCTACTGTGCAGAAAACCTAGATATATAAGACCCAATATTGCAGCCCAAAATCCTTCCAGTAAGAAGGCATGCAGGATGCATGATGACTTCTAATTTCAGGCTCCTATATTCTTTGGTGCCCTACCTTATAAGAAGTCTCTCTAGATATCTAATACAGCCACCCTTCATTTTGTAAAGAATTTATTTGCACACTCTTCCCTATACACACCTGCATGACTCCCTTCATTTAATCCCTGTAATTTTGACTACTTTAATCTTTGTCCTTTCTTTACAAACACTCTTCCATTTCCTAGTACTTCTCATATTGAGTGAAGACTTTAATACTTCCAATCATACATCAGCTCTCTCAGAGACACCTTCAGTGATGTAACTTTTGTTGGAGGCTTGAGAATATACACATTTTGTCATGTAAGACTAGTTTTTAGCTCATGAACATTGGCTGGGCAGTTGTCTTTGGTGAAGAGAGCAGCTCCATCCTCATGTTTTAACAGGCATTGCTTGCAACGACCTTTAGTAGAGTTCTTACCTCTCTCTTCAGCAGCTCCTGTATTTTTCACATGTCTTTCAGGATTCACAAACACTCGAGCATTCCGTTTCAGTTGAAGTCGCTCAAAAATAGGCTGTTAAAATTAGGACTAGTAAGGACTTGCACAGAGACTTCCTAACTACCCTCCAAAAACATCACAATTTCCTTTCTTAAAAGCAACTAGACATAAATAAAAGAAGCATGTCCTGAAGAGTAAACATAGGTATGTAGATAGGTAGATGATTGATAGGTAGATAGATAGATAGATAGATAGATAGATAGATAGATAGATAGATAGATAGATAGATAAGAGAGGGAGAGAGAGAAGTTCTTATATATACTTCCTAAATCACATCTCTATTTCTTCATACAGTGACTGAGCATAGAAATCCACTGACTTATATTTTTACTTTGCAAGTAGTTAGAATTTGAGTAATGATGAAAAGATTATGCAAGAAATCCAAGGATAAGCTTAGGAGCTAGTTACTGTAGATTCTGAAATCAGTACAGATTGTACAAATAAAGACAAGAAGGATGCTGAAATTAAATATTAGATGATGGCCTCATTTCTATTTAGGGCTGTGAAATGTAAGACACCCCCCCTTTACCAATGAGAAGAATCTTGATGTGAAAATGCAAACTCCTGAATACCTTCCGCTGCCTCTTGCCGCTACCACACCATCCTATCTGTTTTCCCTCCGACCTCAGTTGTACAGTCTTGGCTCCTGACAAATACATATGTGTAAAGTCAGCCAAGAAAGCAATGAAATAAATGCTATTAGCCACAAAACCTTAGATGCAAAAATTTCAAAGTGAAAAACAAAATGTTGTATTTTTATTTTGCAATAAAATTTTGCAATAAAAGTTCTATTAATCTTGATGTCAACCAGATGTTTTCTGATCCAGAAATAAATGTCATTATCAAAAGCTTCATAGATCTTATATATAGACAGTAGGAGTCAACATATTCATCCCTTTATATACATGACAAAGATATATGCACTTATTATTCCAATAAACAGAAATGAACACGTCTTCAGTAACAAAATTGTCAATATGAATCACATATACTCACAATGCTCATTCTTCTGTACTTGCTAAAAGTAACATACCAAAGACCATCTAGGCATGCCCTTAGCCTGATTACCCCTCATTTCTGCAGCGCTTGTGTCTACTACTTTGACAAATCTTTCCTGACCTCAGCATAAGTTAAATATCCCTTGATTCTATTTCTTTTTTCCCACATATGCACATGATGCTTTTCTCACAGCATCCTTAGCACTGCATTCATTTCCCAAGGATTTCCTTCTCATTTGAAGTGTAAATTATTGATTCATATACCTAAATATTTTATTTCCAGTCTAGAAGTGACAATTTTTTAAGATTTTGTAAAATTAGTGTTTGAATTGTTTTTCTCTGGAATTATTTATTGAATTTTACTGGTTTCTGGCCCTGAAATGTAAAAGGGCAAGCAGGTATTGCAGCAATGCACTTAAGAGAATTGTTTGATCTGTCTCTTAATGACAAGAGGGTAAGTATATAATGACCCGGATGGTAAAGTGGTATGTGACGCATACTAAGGGAATCACAGAGTTTGAACTTGTAGATACATCTAACATTACAGGTAGGTTATCACCTCATTAGTAGTGCATGAGAAGTTGGTAGAGATGGTCAAGGACTGGGAAGGGAGGGCCGAGAAGGAATCAGGTCAGTAAGGTTTACTGTGTTATGTTAAGATGCTTGAACACTAACATTTGAAGGAAAGGTTCATCTCTCACTTTTGCAACCAAGGCAGATCGACTCAAGATGTGAGAAGGACAATATTTTTGAATGGCATGTAAAAAAAAAGACACAAATTTTTGAGTAGGATACAAAACTGAAAACTCATGAAATTCTGAACTTCTGAAATTCTGAAAGGTTCCAGAACATTTAACAATACTAGCTCAGAAAAAAAAAATACTTAAGAAAAAAATCATTAAAAGAATGTAATATAAACTCGGACCCATAAACAACTAGACATTGATACTGCTTTCTTGTGAAACACGTGGTGAACTGAGTGAAATGACTGAGTGATTTCTGTTTGCCTTCACCCTTTTCTCTTATCTCCCTATGTTGGTGAATTTCATTCAATATTTCTCATGAATGTATGTTTCTCGTAAAAAATTCTCATTAATAAATTATATGATGGATAGGTTTATGTTCACTCTCATTGTATGTAAGTGAAGCCCTAGGGAGAACCCAAAACTAATTTATGTTGATAAAAATACAATTACAGCCAAATCAGAAAAAAAAACACCAAAAAGATATCAATTCAATATTTTGAATTTTATCAATTCAATTAGTATATGAATTTGGATTTTTTATTGTCAGTAACTGTGCCTGCATGTAATTGACACCGTTCTAAAAATTATAAAATTAATTCTTTTGCTTAAGAGTAGGTAAGACAACCTGTTGTATTATATTGTGGTATGTAAATTCCAGCTGCAGTCTACATATCATGGTTAACTATGGCCACTGACTTAAGTAGTACATTAATTGAGACACAAATCAGATAGATCATGCTCATAGACTGTTTCCACGATGGATTTAAAATACTGTGTATTTTCACTAGACCAGTTCTTTATATATTGTATTATGTCTTTGAGAGTTCCATGCAATGTGCTCTCATCATGTTCACACCCAGCTCCTCCCAGATCTACCCCCATACATCCCACACTATGTCTTTTTTGAAAAAAACATCAAGTCCAGTTTGTGCTGCCCATATATTCTTGACATGTGGTCTTCCACGGGAGCATGGTCAGCATACCCAGGGCTGTACTCTTAAAGACAACAGACGCTACCTCTCTCATAGGGGTGGATAGGACTTCCTGCCCACTGCTTTTCCACATGCTAAGATTTAGCCTTGAGTTTTTACAGGTTTTGCACATTCTGTCATAACCACTGTGAAATAATATATGATGTTCAAAGGATCACTCAGCACTCCTGGTCATGCCTCAGCCTGCCGATTAACTGGATGTGAATGCACAGACAGCTTTGAGGAAACACTCAAGAAGATAGGTTAAATTTTGTGCATCCTGATGTTTAATAATTAATCTCAACTAATCTCTAGGAAATGTATGGATTCCAAAATTGGAATTCAAATGAGCTGATACATAACCACCAAAGTACCTGAGAGATAATTCATAATGTTGAAAACCAAATCTTAATTGGTAAATACCTCATTTTTAGATAATAAAGCTTAAATGATATTTGCATTTCTTACATTTAATCCTTCTACTAATTTAAAGAACTATATTGCAGGGAATAAAAAATTGGACATTTCAAATATTCATGTGCTTAGTAAATGTACCTGCCATGAATGATTTTTCTTGCTTCATTGTTGAATCTTCAGTTAGCACAAAATCTTGTTTTTCAATGGCATCCTGCATGGGTTTGGAACAAGATGTTTAATGATGCTTCTATATTTCATATAGTAGAATGTTAAGGATACAGAACAAAATATAAACATTTTTACCTTTAATTCAGAATATTCAGCAGGAAAACCTGAAAAACCAGAGACTTGCAATTAACAACTGCATGTTAACATGACAAGGTCAATCAAAATTGCATGCAGAATCAGTGTTGAAAATAATCAGCATAGTTATCATTGGGAATACTTCTCTTAAGAGTAGAGTTTGGTTTATCTTCACTTTGTTCTCTTATAGTCTTATTAGGAGATTAAGTAAAAATTAAGTATAAAATGAGGTTTTAACTTACGGTTAAATGAAACTATTTAATGTGAGATTATGATTCCAGGAAACACAGCTAAATAGAAAAGACTCTGATATCAATGCCAGTGTTTCATTTCTAATTGATGGAGGGAAAGGCGATCTCTTTCATGAAATGGCATTATCTATCCTAGATGTCAAAATGAACAGTAGCATGACACTGAATATATTGCCAGACAAATTTTCAGAATAAGAATTTGTTTCTCCATATTTTTAATTCAGAACAGAGAACACAGTCATTAAATCCAGGGAAATACACAAGTCAGTTTTTTGTTTAAGAATGCTTTCCAATTTGATTGTATACTAACATTAAAAATAATGATAAAAAATATTCCTCCTTTGCTGATACATATGGATTATTGTGAAGACTACATATCCTTTTCCACTCTGGTTACAATACTCTAACTTTTTTCTTTGTTTGTTTGTTTTAGGTTTTTTGAGACAGAGTTTCTCTGTGTAGCCATGGCTGTCCTAAACTCATTTTGTAGATGAGGTCAGCCTTGAATTCACAGAGATCCACCTACCATGGCCTCCCAAGTGTTGGGATTAATGGTGTGCAACACCACTGCCTGGCTTTTTTTAAATACCCCACATCTTTAAGTAAATGCTTCTCAAAAGGTCTGAGAATCTAAAACATAATACAGTCCATAAGAAGTTTACTGCAGTGAAATGGAATAGTCATATAAAAATAAATGGAATTTTCACAAAATAATTAGCGGTTACTAACCACCTATCTTAGCAATTAGTACAACAGTCAATATAATGTACAATGCTGGTGTGCTTTTTTCCAAAACTACATTGGTTTGTTGTATTGTGTGAGTAACCAGTTTGTCTCAAAATTGTTTTCTGAGTTATTAGGATCTGACACCAGAATTTAAAACATGTAGGCAAATGTGTCAGAGATGGATGGCCCTTCAGAAGAAAGCCTGGATTTGACTCCTGTAGATTAAGTTTAGAAAGATGGAGGGAAGATTGGGGTATGAAACACTCTGGCAAAGAAGTATTAAATGGTAAAAATACCAGTCTAAAGATAATGATGATTGAGCTGCTGTTTAGTAGAATCGGAGTACTTGATAGTAGTTGGAAAAGGCTGAAAACACAGCGTTAGGCGTGAATGATAATGTAGAACCTTTATGTGGAGCTGGGAGTTCTGAAGTGCACTTCTAAGGTGCAGGGACACTGAGGTTTGAAGCTGAACTTCACATGCATCTTTGCCACTAAGATGCATCTTGCTACAGGGCTAATAACCTCCATTCTCTAAAATAACTTTATTTTCGCAGTCCCTACTCAGATAAAGCTATCCGATTTTTCTTCATGTACTTCCTATGCTGTCGAAGGTCTTCACCTTCATTTCAACCCCTGTACTACTTCTCATTTTCTAATATTCATCAACTGGGAAACACCTAATAATGTAACTCATCTCCAGTGCCACTCTCAATTTAACCCGTTTTTTTTTTTTCAGATTTTGTGAGATATATAAATTGTTGCCATTTAATATACTTATTGTGTGTTCTTGTATGTGCACGTGTTCATACCTATATGGGTGCCCATGTGTGTGTAGGTGTACAAACAACTGAATGCATATGCATGTGGAGGAAACATTGGACATCATCCTCAAGAACATCGACCACTTCTTTTAGGCAGAGTCTCTCATGTCCTGGAGCTCATCAATTAACCTAGACTGGCTGGTGAGTGAGCCTCAGGTATTCTCCCAGCCCTGCTTTCCTATAAGCACATATGACCAAGCCTGCCTATCATTTTTATGTGGGTTCAATGGTTCAAACTCATATCCTTACTTAAAATGCAAGAACATTACCAACTGAGTGGTTCTCCTATTCCCTCCATTAAAAATATTGTAACTTAAATATGTAATAGGTTACACTCGGGGTGGGTAGGAAAATATCTCACTCCCTCTGTCTATAGCATTGTCAGGTGTATTTTTAAATTTTTTATAGTATGTGTTTGTATGTGTGTGTGTGTGTGCATATGGGAGATGTGTGTGTGTGTGTGTGTGTGTGTGTGTGTGTGTGTGTGTGTGTGTGTGTGTGTGTATGTGTGTGGTGTGTGCATGAGCACATGTTGAGGTCAGAGGTCTCAGTTTCTTCACATCTTCTACCTCCTTGAGCCAAGGTCTCCCTTCTTTTTCAGCACAACGTACTAGAGGTTAGCTGGCCTGGAAACTCCTGGTTGATTCTTCTCTCTCTCTCCCGTTTTGCTGCAGATGTACACGACCACACTGGGCCTTTTGCATGGGTTCTGCGGATCAAACTTGGTTTCTCAGACTTGAGTAGGAAATGGTTTCATGCAATGAGAAATCTCCCTGAGCCTCTTGAATGGAATTGTTAATAACATAGAGTTCTTACCTTTCTTCTGGTCACTCATGACATTTACTCCTTCTTCATCTTGCATGGGTAAATGTGCAGTGTCCTTTGGTTGAGGTTGCTTAAACATATTTTTAAATTAGTGTCAATATTAAATTGCATAGAGATTTCCTAATCAATTTTCAAAAAATTCAATTTCTATTTTAAAATTAATTGAAAATAAAACAATCATGAATGGAAACACAGCTTAATGAAGATGGAAAGACAGAAGATGAAGGAGGAAAGGAGGAAGATAGGGAGAAAGGAAGGAAGGAAATGCACTTCATTGGAAAATGTGTATTTAAAGCAGGAGACTTGAGTCATTCCTTATCCCCACAGTTATCTATTGAATATTCACCAAGATTTTATGTGACCATGACTGCATATCTTATCAAGTCTTAAACCGTTTATATTGATAATATCATTGAGGAAGTAGAAGTATGGATCTCTTGGAGGTTTATGATATTTTCTCTTCTTTGCACTTTGGCTGTGAACAAATGTACCACTTAATCATATATTATTGAAGTTACCATCAAAAATAAGTTATACATAGAGATCACTTAACACTTTCCAAGACAATATCTCAATTCCTATTTTTTAAATTAATTATGCTGAAATTTTTAAAAATGAATAAAAATTTTAAAAATCATCAAATATGTTTCCTTAATAATGTCTAGGTTTTATCTTTAGAGAGTTGCTGACCATATAGACTAATCATGGAGACACAGAGGATATAGATTTATAGTCGATAACATAGCCAATGTGCATACTTGAATGAATGAACTTCAGAATACCAAAATATTATCCCCTTGGAAAATTACAAAGCACTTTTATAATTTAGAAGAATTTTGTTTTATGATATCATTATCGATGCAAAATATTTCCAATGACAGGAATATTTTGTGTCTAAAGAACTATGATGAGAGGCTTCAAAGTATGTGATGCTGAGTGTAACAATGATTTGTAGGAGCTTCCCCATTTAGGTATCCTGAGGGAAAAAAAGTTATGAAGAAGAAAACTAGCAGAACAAAGTGATAAATTAATATGGGAATTTTTCTATAGATTATCTAAATAAAGACAAGGAATATTAGATATCATATAGGGCTCTTTCCCAATTAAGAGAAAACTTCAAAAATATGGCAAACCATATTGTAGGTTTTAGGGTTTTTTGTTTTGTTTTGGGGGTTTTGTTTGTTTGCTTGTTTGTTTTTCAAGACAAGGTTTCTCTGTAGTTTTGGTTCCTGTCCTGGATCTCACTCTGTAGGTTAGGCTGGCCTTGAACTCACCGAGATCCACCTGACTCTGCCTCCCAAGTGCTGGGATTAAAGGCATGCACCACCACCCAGCTATTGTAGGTTCTTACTTGTGAAATTTATTTTTCATGTCATATAATAAATGAAATGATTATAGTGATGGTTCTGTTACTCAATGCGTCCTGTATCATCCAGGATGTTAAGTCTCAACCAGTGGACTGATGTGATCTACTGTTCTCTTTTCCAGACGGACTTTCTCCTGGCTCCCTCTCCCTCCTTTGGTTGGAGCTTCACAGTCACCTTCAGAAAGACTTTTCTCTGAGTACAGGTTCTTCTTTCATCACCATACTCACCCCTGCAACATTCTCCAACCAAACATTATGTGTATTCTCCAGCTGGAACACAGATGTTATTTTCTCATTACTTGTTTGACTACTAAAATACTATCTAAATATTCATGTGACACATTCTACATTTAACAACCTCATATATAATTGATATTGAAAACCCACAAATTATTTGAGGTCAAAGAAGTTAAAATGTGTGTAAAAAAGCCTTGGATACTACATGCTCTATTTCATTAGTATATTCCTTTAACAGTTCTATACAAGATCCACATGCTACCATACATTTCTGTATTCTGTATTCTGTATTCTTGTTCCACCTGTCCAGTCCTGACATGTTCTAACACCAAGTAAAGTGGAGGAGTAACATCATTTATTATATTTGCTGACTCTTGTCCTTGAAACAAAGACAAGTTTAAAATTTATTCTTTGAAGGATAACACCAAAAGCCACTTTCTATGATTTATTATTCTCCTTATAGGTAATAGAGCTAATTACATGTCTCTCACATAACAGAGTCACTGACAACAACTGAAGAACCAAACAATGGATGGAAACTTGAAGCTGTGAAATACTGATTAGCAATAGGTAGTACAAATTTTGAATCACCAAGATAGTAACTCTTTAGCGTGAATTAAATTCAGGGGAAATTGCTGTTATACTGCTCAAAGCTTTAATTTCTGACTGATAGAATTCAAATTTGACTGTCTTTAACATGTGAAGACATTAAAGAACTGAAAAACACACAAAAATGATTTTAATTGGAACTATTTTACAACACTGTTGATTCTAAAACTAGCATATTGCCTAGCTACATAGTTGAGATTAAATATTAAATCACAGTCTATTCATTCTCCATGGAAGTCAAAAACTAACTTTATGTGATCCATGGGTTCAACATTTACCAGTGAAAATCTTAAAAAAGATAATTTGTTGAAATATTTATGTACCTTTAGGTGTTCCCCTTCACTGTTATCAGGCCATTCTTGCTCTTCCTCTGAGGACAATTGTATATCTGATTCTGACAAATCCATATTAGTTAAAATATTAATTAAAATAAACTACAAAGACAATTTGATAAAAGAGGTAGGCTTTATAATAATACAGAGAGGGAAGCTAATAATCAGTGCTAATACAAAATGGATATTTAGTTACTAATTCAAGAACTTTGATTTAGGCACAGCAGGGGAGGAGAAGTTATTCCATCAATATCACACAGCTACAACCCCGGCAACATGAATGACCTGCCTACATGATATACTCGTGCAATCGTGGCATAAAAGTTATGAGAGTAACCAACCACTTTTGTCTGGGTTTAAGGCCCAGTCCATGAGATGGAATTGCTAAAGAGTCCAAGAATCTGGGATTAGATAGGTCATGGGTCTAAGAGAAAAACCTACTAGTACTTTTCTGCTAAAGGAATATGCAATAAAATGACTCCTAAGGACATTGATGTAACCATAGATCAACCCTTCTCAGGGAAGCTTCTTCTTGCAGTGGGTGAGAAATGGCACAGAGAACCACAACTAGACAGTGCACAATGTGTGAGAGGCATTGGAGCACTCAGTCCTGAAAGGGATGTCTTTGTCAAACCCCTCCCCTCAGGACTCAAGGATCTATGCACAAGAGGATATAGAAAAGTTATAAGGGCCAGAGGTGGTGGATGGTTCCAGAGAGAAAGCATCTTCCAGACACAACAGGACTGAAACCCAGATGAGCTCATTGAGCCTGTGACAGCATGCACAGGACCTGCAAGTTTCAAACCATACAAAATCCCAGAACTACAAAGACCAAGTGGACTCAAATCCCCACCCCTAACCAAGAAGCTATTTGCAATTGACACCTTCTGACAAAGGGAACATCAGTTCCTCAAATGGCATGACATTGGAGTGACAACCAGACTTCAGGGAAAGTCCCATGCCCAGGAGTCAGCACAAAATGAACTCCATGTTTTTCTGGTGTGTGCTTTTATTTGGTTTAGTTTTATTTTGGCCATTTTTCTGTCTTATTGATTTTCTTTGTTTGCTTATTTTGATTTTTTTTTTTATTTGAGAAAGAGAGAACATAAAATTGGGTAGGTAGAGAGGTGAGGAGGATCTGAGGAGTTGGGAGGGGGAGAATACCCTAATCTTTACCTGTTTACTTTAAGACATCATTTATATTTGAAGGTAAACTGAGTTTGTTATGGACAGCAGAAAGATGGAGTTTGTTTCTTAATTCATTCAGTTAACCTGTGTCTCTTGATTGGGAAATTGAATTCATTAATATTTGACATTATTTTGAAAGATGTATATTGATTGCTGTCATTTGTTGTTGTTGTTACTGCTGCTGCTGCTGCTGCTGTTGCTGTTTGCTGTGTTCTTGGTCTTACACTGACTTAGAAAATACATCAACTACCAGAAGCTCCAATATGTCACTTCTACAATGAGTCAATTCCATGAATAAGGCCTGAATAGAGCTCAAACATGCATTCACAAATTATTCTACTAAAAAAAATGGACACACCAATAGGAGCAAAACTGAAATGAAATGAAATCACACTGGACACTTATCTCTATTTCCTCTCTACTTATCCTGGTTTTCCTTCCATTACTAGGATTGCAAAACCTGTGGAGGAGGGATCTATTTCAGCTTATACTTTCTAGTCTATCACCAAGGCAGGAACTCACAGCAGAACCTAGAAGCAGGAACTGAAGCAAAGGCACTGTGGAGGTACATAGCTTACAAGTTTACTCAGCTTGCTTTCTTATACAACACAGGCCACGTATGTGGATTTAGATTCATTCTCCAAACCAATTAAAATAAACAAATGAAGACAATAGGTAGATGTGTCAACATTGTAAGTATAAGGATTTGGAATTAAAACTGGTAGTAACAATTTTTGGAGGTCTATATGGATATTTTCTAAATTAAAGAATATTAATACTGCAGATTTAAGTAAAAACTAGAAAGTATAGTATAGCATATATATATATATATATATATATATATATATATATATATATATATATATATATATATAATGTAAAGCCCCTGTTACAGAGATTTGGTATCATATCTGATTAAGGGCATTAACTAAGTAATTAATAATATAAAAATAAATTAAATTATGACAATTAACAGTAAATCAGTTGAGTATGCTTTATTTTTAAATTGTATTATTGGAAGACCTGATGGTGCTAGCCTTTATTCCCAACACTCAGCAGGCAGATGCATATGGACCTCTGTGAGTTTAAGGCCAACCTGGTCTATATAGTTAATTTGAAGATAGCTGTGAACACAGTAAGACCCAGTTTCAGAAAAATAAAAAACAAAACCCTGTGCATTAGTTCCAGTTATAGACCAGCTACCATAATTGACTAGGGGCAATAAGTTCAAGAGTCTATTGACTAAAAGACAAATTAGATGAAGACATACTGGTCTGAATAAAGTTGAACTCTACCATATTTTCCACTGGATGTATGACCTTACACCACAACAGATAAGTCTTGTAAGATGACACTTGATTCTCAGAGAACAATTTTATAATGAAAAGAAAATGTATATAGAAGAGTGTCATAGAGGCAATAATTATCAACCCAGCATCCTAGTGAAGCCAGGCATGATGGTACTTGCTTTTATCTCAGACCTTGGGAGGCAGATGCAGTAGATTTCTGGGGGTTTAAGTCTACATAGTAAATTTCAAGACATCCAGGGCTACACAGTACAATCCAGTCTCAAAAACAATAAATAAAAGACTGTGAGCCAGTACATTGAGCAAATAGTTCTTTCTAGTAACACATACTGGGCAACAAAAGGTCTCTCTGGCTACAAAGCAGGAACAGAAAAAGAAATTGGCCTGATTTTATCTCCATTGTTCAATGAAGAGAAAATGGAGGCTTTATTTAGCCAAAATTTAAATCCTTCTGGAATCATCCTAAAAAAAGAATAGGAAACCCCTGATCCAACTGGATACAGATTTCTGTACCTGTAGGCGGGAGCTGCATATTTTCAGACTTTGTTGTACTTTTTATTTCTCAGTTAAAATCTTAAGACTGAACAGTTCCATATTTCCCCAGAAGTGTAGAGGCCAATGCAAGTTTACAATCCTGACTGAAAATAATCTTGCTTCTATATCATCTAAACCCACACTCCTTCACTTCCTGTCTACTAAGCACCGCACTATCCAGAAGAAACAAGCAAATTGTGAAACTGAATAGAACCCACTCTTAGTGAGGTTCTTGTAAACTGTACCATATGTAGTAGCCTCTTCTTTTCTACATTTTGATCAAATGAACTTTTCCTTTAAAAAGAAATCAAATTAGATTAAGATCACCAAAAGATTGTGTATCTAAGTGCAACTAATAAGCACACTTTGAATTCTTAATGCACATGAACTTATCAGATAGCTCAGAATACCTCATACATATGGATATCAAGAAAACTCTAGTCTCTACGCCATTATTAAGCATGTACTACTAGAAATAATATTCATCTAAGTGTTTTCAAACTTTGCAAAATCCTGTGGAACAGTCTTTGTGCATTATAAATATATATTGCTCCCATTGTTAATAAAAAGATGATTGGCTGATGGCTAGGCAGGATTTGGGGGGCAGAGAGAATGTTAGGAGAAGGGTGGAGTCAGAGGAGTCACCAGACGAAAGGAAGCAGGATATGTGCAAAGCGAGGTAACAAGCCATGAGCCACACGGCAGCACAAAGATGAACAGAAATGAGTTAATTTAAGTTATAAGAGCTAGCTAAAAACAAACCTAACCTATTGGCCAAGCATTTCTAATGAATATTAAGCTTCTTTTCAGTTATTTGGGAGTGACTGCCGGGACACAGAAAAACTCTACCTATAGTAAAATCCTTAGACTTCTACATACAACTGCAGCTATTCCGTAAGAAGCATGGTGATGCTTTATCAAGCCTATGGAAAGTCTTCTCCTTTCTGAATGGAAACAGAGTAGTAGAAGGGGATGGAGGGAGAAGGGGAGCAGGCAGGGCACAGGAAAGAGAAAAGAGAGGGGAAACTGTGGTGGGTATATAAAATAAATGAAAAAATGTTAATTAAATAAAATAAAATTTAAAAAAGAGTCACAGCAAAGAAAAAAGCATGGTGATTTGAAAATAAGAGTGTTGGGGTACTAAGACTTAAAAGGTGCAATATTTGAGTTATAGTTAGAAATTTGGAAAGATTATGTTAAGTTACTGAATAGCTTTTTGGAAAGATAATACAAACAGTGACACTTTATTTGTACAAAATCCTCACATAAAAGTTGAAGAGCGCCGGGCAGTGGTGGCGCACGCCTTTAATCCCAGCACTTGGGAGGCAGAGGCAGGTGGATCTCTGTGAGACCTAGGCCAGCCTGGTCTACCAAGTGAGTTCCAGGAAAGGCACAAAGCTACACAGAGAAACCCTGTCTCGAAAAACCAAAAAAAAAAAAAAAAAAGTTCAAGAGAGCAGAGGACCAAAATCACAAGACCATGCGCACTTTCTGTTCTGAAGCATCCTCCCAGAGGGACTGCAGAACGTACCTGGGTCAAATGCTTTGACTTCTTCCATTGCTGGCGCTTCACACGGAAGAGGAGTTTTCTTCTGTTTGGGTTTTAAAACAAGACACTCAAATGGCTTGGTGGTTAAGAGCATATGCTGTTCAACCATGAGGACCAAAGTTGGGAATCTGATACCCATGTATCAAGCCAGGCATCCACCAAACACATGTTAACTCAAAGGGACCAGTGCCCTTTTATGGCCTCTATGCAGACATTGGCATATACACAATCACACACATACACACATACAATCAGGTGGATACACAAAAATATATACATACACCCTCAGGTGGATACACAAAAATACATACAACTTTTTTAAAGTAACACATGCTTATTTCAAATAGTATGAATTTAATGATGTAAGATAAAAACTTAAAACTTATTACCTTCAATTGAGCATAGTCTTCAGGAGAGTCTAAAAAGTCAGAGACATAATTAATTATATGTAAACATACTTTCCATACAAAATTACTAGCAAAAATATTCCTGGTGGTTAACTTTCAAAATATTATTAAGTTTAGTGTTGGGGACACCTCTTTTGTTTTTCTCTTCTAATTGAATAAAAACAACCTACATCAGTATGGCATTCCTAAGTGTTGGAAAACAAAATAAAACTGTGATTATGGGATAATATCATGACCCAAAAATAATAATTCCGCTCTGACTGTAGCAAGAAACAGAATGGCTCTTTAGCAAAATATTTCCATATCATTCATGCCAATATTGAATGAGAGTTCTCTGTGTCCTCATTTGTGATAAAGTTTAGAAGCTCAAAGCAGCCCCAATATTTAGAGAAAGGAGAATTATTTCAATGAAGTTTCTGAGTCAATCACATTGAATGCACTCATGAAAACATAATACATAGAATTGTTCGTTTTTGCATGTGTGTGAACTATTTTTAGGACTGTATTTCTGGGTTTCCTCTAGTTTTCACATCTTAAAAGTTCTTAGTGAACACTTTGGAAATAGTGTGCAAACATAATCCACATGAGGAATAAGAAGCTGTTAGTGCCGAATGATTGCCAAAGTTTAAAGAAGCTTGACTTTTACAGGAGAATGTGAGATTACTAAAGTGCTCCATGTGAAATGTAAGCCATGTTTATAAAAGACAGCCCTGCTATTCCAATGATTGGTTTATCATATAACTTATCACTAGATTATATCAAACAGCCTGTGTTAATACAAATGGCTTCTTCTTTTGCATGTATCCCACTGAAGGTGAGAGGTTAAGGTAACCATGGCCTTTGCTACCTCCAAGTGATTGAGTGGAGAATTGAGTATCTGCTACTCGCCATGGTCTTCCATTCACTTTCCTTCCAATAATAGTCTACACTTTAATTTAGAGGGAAGTATATGAATTTCATGTGTAATGTGCTGAGTTCTCTCAAGTTCCTCATCTGTGACTGAATGTACATGGAGTTTCCCCCCTCCTTGTTCTGTCTACCTGGTTGACCTTTCTATGAAAAAAATTCTCCACATCATTCACCTTTTTATTTTTCATTTCTACATTTTAAATGAATGTGTCTGACAACTTCCATTCCTCTCAGCTTAACAATAGTAACCTCAAACTTGGAATTAAATTCCTAAAAAACACTTTGAGCCATATGAGATTATTAATCAAGAAACAGACAAATTATTTCATGTTTGCATGTCTGTATTCTTTTCCATTGGCAGGGAAAAGAGTGAGGACTAATAGCAAAGTCTCTGCTTTCTTCTGTCCCTGCTGTGTGCTGGATCATTACCCAGTGGTTATTTAGACATCTTTAGAAAGATGTCTATGTAATTGTCACTAAAATTCAGTTCAGAGCTCTGGCAGCATCTGCATCACATGACAACTTTAAAATGAGGACCAGAACTTCTCACCACAATTAGCATTTTGAACATAGCTCCCAAGAAACTGTCCATGAAAGGTGTAAAAATTCTGATCATTATGAAGTAGTCTATATTCCATTACCATAACTTGAATTTTTAGACTCTAGAAGCTAAAACCTAAAGTTATTTTTCCCTATAAGGTCTCCCAAATTGAAATGACATAAGGTACCATAACCCTTTAAAGAGGATTTGGCATTTGTGAACACTGCACGGAGACTGCGACAGCATGAATTAGACAAAATCCAACACTGAGAAGTGGACACAAAGTCCCACCCCTAACCAAGAAGCAATTTGCAACTGGTATAGCTGTGATAGGGGGGAAAAATCAGTTTTCTCCAATGTCATGTTTCATTCCAGGATAGGCCCCATGCCCAGAAATAGTTGACCAACATAAAATAGATTCCATGGTTTTGTTTGCTTGTTTGGTTGGTTGGGGGGGGAGGGGCGTGTATGTGTATGTGTGTGTGTGTGTGTGTGTGTGTGTGTGTGTGTGTGTGTGTGTGTGTGTGTCTGTTTGTGTTTGTGTTTGATGTGTTTTATCTTTGGGGTTTTTTGTTTTGTTTTGTATTTAGGGTTTTATTTTTTGAGAGAAGAAAAGAACATGAATGGTTATGGAGGT